TTAAGAATATTTTCAGAGCAATAGAATTTGGAATCATTTTATAAAAATAAAAGATAAGAAAGAAAAACAACCGTTTATAAAACATTGAATATCTAAAAATTTGATGTTCTTTACTATAATAAATAGGGAATTATTAACTATGAATGGTAGCAGCTTTAGTCTAGTAATGGACAGATTATATAAATGTTTTAAAAGGAATATTAATAAAAGAACTTTTTTGGTAGAGAAATAATTGAGTCATTCTTTGACTAAATGTTCTGAGATAATATTTATCAATTAATTTCAAAGGAAGTTTCCTCAAGTAATTTTGGAAAGATGCAGAGAAATCCAGCGTAAGAGGTGAGATGATATGGATGATAAACGGAAGAGGTAGTTGAAGTAGATTATTTTTTCCTTGCCCATCTTCTTTGTGTCATCTAATACATCTTATATACATTATACTCTTCCCAGCCATTAGCCACGCAGAAACTTGTCTTAGGGGTAAATATAGACTTGATCTTAGGCTCGAAATGTCAGTTGCACTAGTATGGCATTGAAGTGGCTTGAATAATTGTGGATAAATCCAAGGGGAAATAGTTGACTATACTTTGAACAATAGGCAAAGTTTGATATCATTGCTAAAGAAGTGTTCATCTTAGCTTCCCCTTTCAGCATTATTATGGACTGTATACTCTGAGGGTCCTCCCTCTACAATACAGTTAGATCCTGAATGAGCAACAACAAACACATTTTTAATGCATCATTGCTATCTCAAGAATGCAAAAGAACAGCAAAACAAAGAAAGTAAAACAGAGAATGTGTTGAAACCAAGGATTGAGCAGCAAATATGAAAGCTGGTAGTGACTTTAAGACTTCTACAAGTATCAGAGCTGGTCAGAGACTAAGCCTTGGGCCTATCTTTGAAGAGAGAATTGATAAATTGGAAGATGAAGGTGAAGAATTTGTACAGAATGCAGCTCATAAAAACAAGATTATAGAGAATACTGATGAGGTTCAAAGATGTGGGGGAAGTAGTTAGAAAATCTAATGTACATCTATTTGGAATCCCAGGAAAATAGAATATGGGAAGGGCAGTTTTGAAAGAAATAGTGGCTGAGAATTTTCTATAGTTGATATAAGCCTGCAGGTACAGAAAGCACAATACTTCTTAAGTAGAATATTATACTGTAAGTGCAAAGCACAAGAGGCATAGAGAAAACACTGGAAACACCCAGAGATAAAAGGCAGATCTTCCTACAAAGGAATGATAGACTGACAACACCAATAACAACAGTGGAAGCCAAAAGACAGCGGTATAATATTTTCAAAGCTGAGATAAATCTGTGAGCCTGTAGTTCTGTGCCTGGCAGAACTGTTTTTCGAGAATGAGGATGTAATAAAGAGGTTCTATGGTAAAATTGAGAGTGTTGACTTCCAGGAGACCTTCACTACACAGAGAATGTTTAAAGGGATATATACATCAGGAAGATGGGAAATGACCTTAGAAGAAGCATCCAAAATGCATTAGTGAATGTGAACAGAAAATGTTTACTAGGTTGGAAAGTGTGTTTGTTAATGGCCTATGCAGTTGTCAGAAATGTGACATCTTTGAGGAGGTGAAGCATAGTAGCAAAGGTATAGTGTAAATTACTTTGAATTCCCCAGAGTCCATTCACTTTTTCATTTTGTAGCTGCATTGTGGTTTGGAGATTTGACCCTAGATTCACTGCTGGGCCCTCATTAGTCTAATCTAGTCATAAAAATCCAATTCTCCTTGCTAATTCAGTTGATTGAGGAACCAGGTCTAAGTCATTTAGCCTGTGGCTATTATCTTGATACCAGTTTTAATTCAGATTTGGCCATGTGTCTGAAGTTGGCTTACTCAGACTGAAGGAAAAAATTCATTTTTTTGTGATTGGAGAGAGGCACACACTGGGTGAACCAAGATTGCTTGTCAGTATGGTAATAAAAGAAATAGACTTTAATAGTGTAGTCAACACTAGAAACAGAAAAGCTGTGAGAAAGTAAAACAGCAGGAAAATTTGGTCTCTGATGATTTCAGTGTGTTACTAAATCACCCAGCCTTGACGTTTACCCTATTTCTAGACTTCATTCTATGTGAGATTGTAGTTTAAATTTATGTACCTTGTAAAATTATAGTTTCTTACTTAAATTCCTCCCCAAACTCTTCCCTGCAAAACAATTTCGTTAATACAAGAATAATTAATATGCCCAGAGAAGATGACAGAGTAGTGAAGGGTTTGACAAGCATGAAATGTTAATGTACCACCAATGTGTAGAGTGTCTTTGGCCTGATAAAAGAAGATATTCAAGAGATACAGTAACAGTGTTCAAATATTTAAAGAGCTATCATGTGGAAGAATTACTAGATTTGTTCTGCATGATTCCAGAGATCAAAACTAGTTCCAATTAATAGAAATTCTGGAGAGATATAAGAAAGTTGTAATCACTATAAGCAATGATCTTCTAATAATCAGAACTGTCTGAAAATGGGAGCAAAGGATGCAACAGTGGAAAGCTGTCAGTGGAGACCTTGGGAGTAAATTTGTTTTCCCTGAAGCCTTCTGATAGAGGACTTTTATAACTATGCAAAGTTTAGGAAAAATTTTCCTACGTGGGGTAGGAGGTTGGATTATATTCCTTCAAAGACCTTTATTATTATGGTGGTTAATCCAGTTATTATATTGGTTTTCAGTTCTTTTAGCCTCAACCCTTCTTTTTTTTTTTTTAAATCTTTTTATTTCTTTATTGAAGTACAGTCAACACTTCTTTTTAGATCATATCCTTGGTGCTGCCTCCTTACTAGCTAAAAGTAAAATTTATAATAAATAGTCCATCCATACATATAATGTTTAAGAAACTAATATGAATAATCTAAAGTAGAAATAAAATGAAAGAAACTTAAAGTTTACAATCACTCATTGCATTTCTGATATGTAAGAGACTTTTAAAACCAAGCATTTTTTGCAAGTTAGGCATAGACTGATTTTTCAGCAAAACCTGATCTTAATTGACAGAAAGCTTGTTTCAGTCTTTACCCACGTGATGAATCCATGCTTTGCTGCAAAAGTATTAGTATATTTGATCACAGGTACTGTTCCAGACTCTGTTGGCATTGCCACGTAATATACTTTAAAATCCAAATAATTCTGAATTCTTAAAATATCTCATCCCATGGGTATTGGCTAAAATATTGTGATTGTAATTCTTTAACAAGTATTTCAGCATGTACATGTTCCAGGATGATCTCGGAACAGTGTCAGAGTTATATTGAAAAACAATAAACAATGCAAAAATTACATGATTTCAGTATGTACCATACATATTAAGAAATATTTACATAAATAATTAAATTCGTTGAGATTATTACATCACTGGGTCTAAATCTGTTAAAAATATTCTGTTACAAATTTGCAGATTATTTTTCAGTACCAGCACTATTGCTTTTCAACTACATTTATAGTTGGATGTTGTATGATACTATATAGACAAAAGGCACAGAATATATTATGCAATAATTTGGAGGTAACTTTCTATAAACCTTTTTTGATATAGCACGTGCTAATGTATATTTATAGTGGGTTTAATCCATAGGACATTCAAAAGTTGCATGGGATATTCCACAAAGTATAGTTTAAGAATAAAAATAGGTTGTGTTCCTTTTTCTCCTTTTGTCTTATGTACAATAGGAGCTAATTAATTTTTCCTTTTTCTATCTTCTTTTGACCATTTACCATTTTGTAATGGCTGGTTCTATTATATAATCTTTTAATGATTTTTGTCAGCCTCTAGTGTCTTATCAGAAACTATATATGTCATTTAGCAGGTACTGCTTACAACATGACTTCATACTACATTTGTAAAATTTAGGGGCAGTTAATATACTAGAGTTCTTTAAAAAGAAGACTTCAAAGAGAAATTAATTTGTGTTTTTAAGCAGTCAAATTTTATGTCTGGTAATGCCCAGAAAGAGCTTTCAGCACTTAATGTCCTTGTGTGTTAGTGTCTTTCATAGTTAGGATTTTTTTTTTTAAATCTTTTCGTTGTTACTTTGCTTTTTTGTTGGGGAGGAGTAGGAATTAGGTTTATGTATTTTTTAATACAGGTACTGGGGATTGAACCTAGGACCTCATGCATGCTAAGCACATGCTCTCTACCACTGAGCTATGCCCTCCCCCTCATAGTCAGGATTTAGAGTGTTAATAAAAGTGAGACACCGTGGTGGGAAGATAACAATTCCATGATGTTGATTACTTTATTTTCTTACCACTTAGTAAAATGTGGTTTGGAGTCTTTATTGTACATAATAGGATATTTAATTAAATTTTACAAGCTGAATTACTGTTGTCCTGCTTTATCTATGGCCTACTTTTATACCTGGAATAAAATGTTCAAGTTTTTGTTTTTTAGCTGCAATGTAAGGACAACTTTTCTAACTCTTTTAGTTACATTTTGATTTGATCAAAATAGTGAAAGTCTCTTTCTAAAGCATTTATTAAATTATTAAATCAGTTTGAATTTATCTTTAGGTGTAGGAAAATGCTCTTACATTAGTGTATAAGTCTTACATCAGCAGTTATTTTTGAGAACCCACTGAACAGTGTAACCCTTTTCTAGTCATTTTTAAATATAGTCACTTAAAAATCCTCCAATTGTCTTTTATCTGTTTTAAACTTTACCCCTTGATTTTCATGTAGAAACTGAGTATGTAGTATACTATCAAATGCTTATTAAAGTATTAGATTTGCATTGTGTACTTTGAAATCTTAGTTACTTGGTACGTTTACCAAGTTGCCATTCTTTACTAAAATATAGTACAATCTTTTCATTGTGATGCTACTCTAGAACTTGCTACTTCCTCTACTTAGAGGATAAGTGATTATTTGCAAACCTGATTCTTTGATGAAACAATAATGAAGTTGAAAGTATTCTGTATTGTAGCACTACCTCAAATACTTTTTATAAATGTAATAACCTGCATGTATGTATGTACTTTTTAGAAAGAATCTTCAAGAGGGAGACATAGGGAAAAGGAAGACATAAAAATCACTAAGGAGAGAACTCCAGAAAGTGAAGAAGAAAATGTAGAATGGGAAACTAATAGAGATGGTGAGTTTCAAAAAAAAATCTTTGTTTATATAGTCAATTTATTGATTATTCACTTTGTAGACTTTCTGTGGGCTTCAGAACACTTTTCAGTTATGATCTCCCTGTTGTTTCAGTATCATCTAATTGACTTATTTCTGTGTTAGTGAGTTCTTAAGGCAGAAAATGACATATAGTAGCAGAACAAAAGCAGAAGCTATTTATACTGCATTTTGCAACTTCCCCACCCTTTTTTTCCCCCTAGAACTTGTTGTACAGCATCACAGTCCTTTGGAATTTTATTACCTTTGTAAACTTAAGTTCAACACCAAATTTCTTAAAAAGTCTTAATTTAGGTTTGCTATTTTTGCATAAAATATTATAAGTGAAATTTTTAAACCTTAAGGACCTAAGAAAATTATTTCCAAGAAATTGTTGGTTTCCATCTTTTGGAAGAAATCCAAATCAGATGATATTTGAGACCTGGAATTTGTTCATGAAGTATAAGCAAAATCATCTTTGAGTTATTGCCTTAGCAAATAAGCATTTATTTTCTATACCATAAATATTCTCTCTTCTCTACTTCTGTGATCTTTTGGAAAGGTGAGCACTTATAGTCTCATCCTAATGAATAAAGAAAGAGAACTCATTTTGTTGAATGTGTTGGGTGTAATAGTCATTTTAATTTATACAATCGCCTGATTAATTCAATAGCTTTGTTACTCTACTTATAGATGACAGAAACCAAGAGTTTAAGAATATAAGCCACTTCCTCATCAGTAAGCTGAAAACTTAGACTAGGGGTTAGAAAATTACAGCTTGTGGGCTAGCCATCTGTTCTTGCAATATTTTTGTTTGGAGAACAGCCATGCCCATTTGGTTACATATTTTCTGTGGCTGCTTTTGAGCTATGATGGATGAGTTGAGTACTTGTGACAGCTAAGAGCCTGCAAGCCTAAAATATTTACTACTGTATTTAAGAACTATCTCTGAAAACTTGCAGACTAATACTTGAAAGGTACCTGAAATGACTCTCCAGTAATTTGAACATCAGTACTTTTTAAGGAAATCCATTCCATCTTTGTATAGTATTGTCTGTTAAAAAGTTGCTTCTAAGAACAAACTTCTCTATGATTAGTTCACAGGAATTTCATAAGTAAATCTAATACCTTCTATAAGTTAGCAATAAAGGCAGCTATAATATCCCATTGTAGTTGATTAATCAGTTAATGTATTGAAATAAAATATTACGAACCTTGACTGTTCAAGGTTGAATAGCTGACTTTTCCTAAATACTAAGGGATTAACTCAACACACTTAACATTCTTTTCATTTTAATTATTTGTGGATAAAAAACATTCTGAAATATATTGGATGCTTCTTATTTTTAAAAAGAGAAACTTCCCTATTCCCATTACAATAATGTGTGTTAATTGTTGAACATTTTAAAGGTTCAGAAAAGCCTGAGTCAGTTTGCTCCTTTTCTTCATAGTAGCTATTTCAAACCCTCTCCATAAATCTTCAACCTCTTACATCTCCAACCTTCCTCTTGCTCCTGTCTCCTGCTTGCCCTTTACAACACCGAGATGATGGAATTCTTTATCCACAATTTCAACTTCCGGCCACCACACCTATAAACTAGTGTTTTGTTCATGTTTAAACTTTTTACTTCCCTTGTGTTCTTTGTAAGAGGCTTTCCTCCTGCTGCATAAAGTTATGTTCCTCTGATTTCCTCCCATTTCTGCAATCTTGTTCATTCATTTTACATCCTCTTTTATATCTTTAACATCCATCTTGGCACATTTTCTCTTCTCCCCATATTTTTTTGTGCCATCATCCTGCTTATTCCCACTTTACAACTAGATTCAATTTTTTTCACCTTATTTATTTAGTCTTTTGACCCATGTCTTCACTAAAACTACGTTAAGGTCACAGTAACCTCTTTTAATAAATGGAGACATGCTTGTCTCTTTCTTCTGTAACCTTCCTGCAACATGTGACACATCTAAGAGCTTCCGTCTTCTTGAAACACTTTCCCCTTGGCTTCCCTGTGTCACTCTTCAGGTTTTCTGTTTTCCTGTTCAGGCCCTTTGGTCTTACATAGAGGTTCCCTGTATGCTAGCTATCCCTTAAATGTTGATTCCCAAGGCTTTGCTCTGGACTATCATCTTTAAAAAGCTAAAGTGATTTTTACCACAAGAGCCTTTTATGTGCAAAATTCTTTTCAAAGGTGAGTAAATGTCTTTTATACTAATTTTACATGCGAAATAGCCACATGGCTATTTCTTATGCTTTCTCTTGATCAAAACTCATAGGTTCTGATTATTGTGATGTCCCTGTGGTTTAACAGTTCCTGTTTGAGGGAATATTGAAGCATGGAGTTAGTCAAATGGTGAGATTGAACTTACTTAATAGATTTACCTTCTGCGTTTTCAGTCTAAAGTGAATAGCAATTTTAGCTAGACTCGGAAGAAATTGGTCTGTATGAGTATTTCTCAAACTTTTAAGTCCCAGGACACTTTTCACTCTTTTTAAGGACTCCAAAGAGCTTTTATCTTTGTGGATTATCTGTTTCAGTAGTTTCTGTAATAGAAGCTGGTACTAAGAAAAATTTAAAATATTTATTTAACAATGATAGTAGTAAATCTAACATATACTTTTATGGAAAATAGCTTTGCAAAGCAAAATTAAAAAGTGTGAACAGGTGGCAGTGTTTTACATATTTTTACAAATCTTTTAAACTTCTTTTTAACTTCTTAAAGTTAAGGTAAATTTCTTAACTGGCTTAATAGAAGACATCTAGATTTCTTATCTGTCTGCATTCAATTTGTTAATGACATCATATTTCATGTAACTTCTGGAAAACTCCATTATATACTTATGAGGCAATGAGTAAACCAGGCAAATAATGTAGCATTATAGAAATATTTTTCATCTTCTGAAACTCCAGAAATTGCCTTGGGAATTCCTAGGAGTCCTTAGACCACTCTTTGAGAACCATTTGTCTCTAGTAGTGGCTTCTAGAACTTTTGGTTGTTTCCCCTTTACCAAGACTTCTTTCAAGTTTTCTGTTCAGGTGAAATCATGCTCCCAGGGCATCATTAACATCTACTATTAATGACTCCAATACCTGGAGCTCTTAACAGAGGCATCTACCAACCGGGTGTCTCCATCTAAATTCTATATCTTAAAAGCACCACTTTCCTACTGGTTTCCCAAAAGCCTGAGAGTCATTGTTGATATTCCTTCTTCTCCTCAGCCCAGACATTTATAGAATTCTGAACATTTCTATCTACTGAATGTCTTTTAGAACCATCTATTTCTCTCAGTTACTGCTAATATTGTAGTTCTTAAGATATTTGTTTGTTGCCTGTAAATATATTTTACCAAATAACCTTGTAATTTCTTGCCTTGAGGTGAGTCTTGTCTCCTAAGTCATTCTCCACTGAAAGCCAGAATAATTTCAGAATTTTTTTTTTTTTTACTAAAGTATAATAATACATTCAGAAGAGTTCCTGATTCATGTGTGCAACTTACTGAGTTTTCACAGACAGAACAACCTTGAACCGGACCTAGGTCAATGAATAGAAAATTACTACTGTCCCATAAACCCAGTTGTACTCCCTTTCCAGTCACTACCTCTCAGCCCCCACCTCACAAAGGTAACTAACTGTCCTGATTTCTACCACCGAGAATTAGTTTTGTCTGATTGAGCTCTGTATAAATGGAATCTATAGCATGTACTGTTTTTGTGCTTAGCTTCTTTTGCTTACAATATGTTTGTGAGATTATTGCACATAGTTACAGTTCATTAATTCTTACCGGCATATAGTATTTCATTGTATGACTACATCATAATTTATTCATTCTACTTACAGTAACCCTTTGAGTAATTTCTAGTTTGGGTCTCTCATGAGTGAGTTTCTGTTACTATTCCTAATTGCATCGTTTGGCAAACACGTGCCCATTTCTCTTGAGTTTATGCTTGGGAGTAGGATTGCTGGTCCATGAAGTCTGCATATGTTTATCTTTAGTAGATAATGTGAAGTCATAAGTGGTTCTCCTTACGATGGTATTTTTTGCCTTTTTCGTCTTAGCCATTCTGGAAGTGTAAGGTAGTATTTTATTGTGGTTTTAGTGTGCATTTCCCTAATGAGTAATGAAGTCGAAAACTTTTTCTAATTTATTGGCCGTTGTACAGCCTGTTTTGTAAACTCTATTCTAGACATTTCCCTATTTGTTTCTATTGTGTTGCTGTTTTTAAATTGTTGAGTATTCTTTATATATTCTAAATGAGGTCTTTATCAGATATATGTATTGCAAGTATATTCTCTCACTCCATCAGTTACAGAGTGAGCTTTTAAAAGAATAAATTGGTTCACTTTATTCCCCTATTAAAAATTCTCTGATTTTCCATTGCCTTGAGGATCAAGTACAAATTCTTATATACCTACAAAACTTTTCGTTATCCAGTTGCTTCCTATATTTCTAGTCTCCCACTCCCAAGTCTTTGTTTTTTATTTATTTCCTTAAACTTACTATAAGTGTTTGCTGTGGGGACCAATGTGGTAATATAAAAAGCAAAGCTATCACTGTAGTAGAAGAGAAAATATCTGAACATGTTTTGGCAATCTTGGAGGTGTGTACATCCTCCTAAAATAAGGTATAAAGCCCAGAAGCCATAAAATATTTGATTACATAAGGATTAAGGATTTAAATTTTTTGTGTAACTAAAATACAGAAGCGACCTATTTTTAAATAGATGACTATAAAATATTTGACATGTGTAATGTGTAAGCATATAGTAAAAACACTGTGTTAACATATAGAGAACTTCACAGATACATAAGAGAAAGATAATCCACTTGAAAACTGGACAGAAGATCCCAAAATTGGATATGTAATTCATAGAGGAAGTAGAAAAAGCCAATTAGTGCTCAGCCTTACTACAGGGGAATGCCAGTGAAAATAGAGAGAGAGCATTCTTCACCCATCAGATTGGTAGCAATGAAAAAACTAGTATTCTGAAGGAAGTTTACATTGGTCAGGCTGTTTTGGAGTGTAGTTTGGCAATATTAAGAATAAAAATTATGCTTATCTTAGGTCCAGCAAATCTAGTTTGAGAAATCTGTTCTAAAAAAAATACTTGCACTTGTGAAACAAGGTAGGTATCAAAATGTTACTCGAAATCTTGTTTATAACAGCAAAATATTGAAAACAAACTAAATGTCTGTCAGAAGGAAAATGATTAAATAAACTGTGATATGTTCATATCATGAAATGCTTTGCAGATGTTAAAAGAAGGTGTTTGACCTTTATGTATGACATGGAAAAATCTTTCTATAAGGCAGTGTGTGTAGAAGAGTATAAATAGAAAGGCTTATGTTTATGTCTATGATTACTTGCATACAATAAGTTGGTAGAAGTAAAGTTGTCGTATTAAAGGGTATGAATGTTCTTAAGGCTTTTACCCATATTGCCAAATTATTTTCCAGGCTAGATGTACAGTTTATGTTGCTACCTCCAGAGAATGAACATTCCTTTTATCTGTACCTTTGCCAGTACCAAATATTATAATTGGGGGGAAATGGCTCTTTAATGCATGAAGAAGTCTTATTTACAAACAATTTGCATTCCTTTCTTTTTGTGAATTGCCTGTTCATGTCTTCTGTCCATTTTTCTTTTAATCAGTAAGAATTCTTTCTATGTACAGAGTGTCAGCGTTATATACTACATATGCTTTTGGTATATATTCTTTAAAAATCTCTGCCTAGTTAAATGTGCTGTTCTAATTGAATATTTTCCTGATGACTTAGAATCATCTATATGAATCAGTTGTTCTAATTGTAATTATAACCTTAAGCTATAAAATATGAGCAGTATTTTCAAAATTTATTAAATGATTTCAGACTGTTTTTGAGTTCCATCCTAATATTTTGTGCTTTCGAATTTCTCTTCTTTTGTCAGACCATCAGGTGCAGTGTGCCTACTTCATAATATGTCTCTTATAGGCTAGGAAAACATCTTACTTTTGATTGTAATATATAAAATTAGAATAAATACTTTCTGAGTAAAGACTTGAGAGCTTTTCCCGTAAGCAAAACATATTAACTACAGTACATTGGCTTTGACATATATTTTAACTGCTCAGGCCTACCCCTATCCCCACCCCTCCTTGGTTGAGTGGTCAGGAATTGAAGATTGAAAGCCAATTTCTCATTTTTCACATGTGTTCTGTATGGGTGATACTTCCAGATAGCAGTTTTTAGATGAGCAGAACATTATTGAAACACTGCAAATCATTCTTCTCAATTAATTACTCTTTCTTTTGTCTTACCTTAGTATTTAGTAATGAAATTTTATGTTAGTGATTTTTTTCATTGAAGTATTACTGATTTACAATGTTGCGTTAGTTTCTGGTGCACAGTATAGTGATTCAGTTATACATATGTGTGTGAGCATATATTCTTTTCCATTATAGGTTATTACAAGTTATTGAATATAGTTCCCTGTGTTATCTGTTAATGATTTAAGAATACAATCAAACCAGGTCATTATTTATTCACTGATGTAAAATGTCTCAGTGGAGTACAAAATAGTAACTAGAGATACCCATTATTCATTTAATTAAATTCAGCATCTTTAGCATTTTATCCGATAAAAACTGTGTGCTCATAAATATTTAGTAATTGCTTTCTGACTGAAAAGTGTGATTTAGTCTGTATTATATATTTACTGAGAAATTGTCATCAGACACCAAAGTAAGGTGAATAATCAAGTTTTGGACACAGATAATGGATATATAATTATCCTCTCAGTCCCCAAAAATGAGTGGTTTGCATTCTAGTGTATTTTACCTATAAGTCAGTGATGTTCTTTTGTATGTGTGTGCTTTAAGCAGTCAAGTAGAACTCTTTCTTTTTTTGTGCTTCATTTTATTTCTTTTCCCCAAGTTAAGAAATGGTGATCTTAAATGCTAAAAGTATGGCTTGAGAACGGACCTCAGTTTGTAATCAGTCAAGCCCAGTGTGGTCATGTGTTAAGACAGAAGTCAGTGCAATAGGTTTCTTGGCATTAATAGCAAATAAAATGACAGTTCCAGTAGGCACTGAAAACTTCTACATATTGTAATGAAATACCTCTGCACACCACTCTTCCTGTTTTTTCCCCCTTAAACCAACCTTCAGGTTCTTTTCATTAGAAAAGATGAATAAAAATAGATACATAATATCAGGTCCATTGAAGAGATGAACAATTCTAATCTAAGGAACTAGTGAAAATGTTATAGATCCTTCAGAAATTAGCTTATGTACACATTAACATTAAAATTATTTTTAGATACAGATCAGTTATGATATTAATAAAAAAACTATGGAAACAATGTTGTACACCCAATGTAACCTTAATACTAATGAGTCTAAGAAAATCAAGAAGATAATGAATCCATCATATGCAGCATGAAATATTGAAGGCTTTGGTATCTTTAATGCTTAGAATTTATAACTGAGTGTTTTAATTGTATCTTTTAAAAATTTCACCTGCTAAAAAAAGAATTTGTGATTAATTATGACTGGATTAAGAACTACATGTATATTATACTTTAAAAAAGAGAAAATAATGACAGCAGTAAATGCTGGCAAGGATGCAAAAACCTGGATTTCTTATACATTGCTCATAGGAATGTCAAATGGTAAAAATGCTCTGGAAAGTAGTTTGCAGTTTCTTAAACAAACAAACATACATTTACTGTATGACCTATAGCAGTTTCACTCCTGGGCATTTGTCCCAGATAAATTAACTTATGTCTTTGGGGAAAAAGAATCCAGTTCCTAACTGAAAACTCAATCCCCAAACAACCCAGAATCATTCACAGAAAACTCAGGAACCTAAAAAATGTTTGGCTTTTCATAAAGAAATTAGCCATATCTATTTTAGTTCTTTGTAGCATATGTTTCTTTTACCTTTTAGAAGTATGTTATTCTAATTAAAGAATCTGCCATTTTAATTTGTATAAAAATAGTCAAAAATTTTCCTCTAATTTTTAATATAGATAATTAGGGTAGTTTCTGACAACTAAAAGTAATTAAGTTTTTATTTTAAAGATTCTGACAATGGAGATATTAATTATGATTATGTTCACGAGTTGTCGTTGGAAATGAAGCGTCAAAAGATACAGAGGGAATTAATGAAGCTGGAACAAGAAAACATGGAGAAAAGAGAAGAAATTATTATTAAAAAGGAGGTATGCTATTTATTGAAATATTTTAGTAGTTAACAACATGGATATCGAGCAGAGAACTCATTAGCTGCTTGCTAGGATGTTGATATGTGGTCAACTTACTGCATATTAGTCACTTCATATATGTTAATCATTTAATCTTCACATTACTCTGTTAGATAAATAGGACGTATTTTTGTTATCTAACAGGTAAATAAAACTGAGATTCTGTTGCTTAGAGTCACTAGTTAATGTAGAATGGGTCTTGAATCTATGTATATCTGGTTTTTAGGCCCATGCTATTTCTAGAACACTTGTTTCTTAAGAGTAGAAAGAGATAAAATTTATTGGAATATAATTTATGATTTTTCTGAGGAGAGTTTGAAATTTTATAATTTTAGTTTGCTTTATTGATATTAGTATTATGTGAGGGCAGTTAATTAGCATATGGGTTAACAGCATAGATTCAGGAGTCAGACTAATATAAATATGTGGTAGCTATCATAACACTATTTCATTTGAAGTTTGGTATGATTTCAAAACATATGCTTTGTTGTCTGATTATAACAACCACGATTGAAAGTGTTTCTGAATTAACTTACTGAATTCTTTTGGAAGGTTTCACCAGAAGTGATTAGATCAAAGTTATCTCCATCACCTTCTCTAAGAAAGTCTAGCAAATCTCCAAAGCGAAAATCAAGCCCTAAGTCATCATCTTCAACTAGCAAGAAAGACAGGAAGGCAACTGCCATATCCTCTCCCTTGTTGGACCAGCAGAGGTTAGTAGGGTAGTAAATAGTGCCAGGATGAAATAGCTTTTATGAAGTGATATTCAAAAGAATTACTTAGTCGATCCCATGAAGATACTTTTAATACATTAAGTATTTAATGTAAACTTTTTTTTTCCTAATAGAGAAAAAGTGTAACTCGTTTCCATTTAAAAGAAAATAAAGAGAACAATGAAACAAAGGTCTCTGTCACATATATATATGCTTCAGAGCTTTTTATTTTTAAAGAGATAAACAGCAGCTGTATTTCCTGTCCTTCCCTCTTGAATTTGGTATTTATGATACTTGTGCATGTGTGTTTATACTTTCATAATATATATTATTTTACAGTGTATAGTATCATTTTCATCTGTTTACTCTTAATATAGATATAGCTTTCCTTCTATAGCTTATTTTTTCACTTGACATTTTTTACATTTGTCTATATTGACATATGTACCTATATTTCTTTCATATTATATATTTATCTACTTTGCTGTTCTTGAACATTTAAATTGTTTCCAGTTTTTATCTATTACAGGTTATGTACAATGAACATTCTTCTTGTCTCCTTGTATACATGATCAAGAGATTAAATTCTTTATGATGTATATGAATCAGTATGAATATATTATTTAGAATTATTGTAGTGGCCAATTGAAAGACTAAAAATAGAAATAAATTACATCAAGGGATTGAGAATAAGGCAGGAGACACCTTTTTATTTAATGTCACTCTGGACTACTTAAATTTTATTTTAATAAAGGGCATACACTAATTTTACTTAAGAAAAAGGCTAAACTGAAAACCTCTTCCCAACTGTTGGCAAACACTTGTCTATTTGAACCCATAATGAAACTCATGTTTGTCTCCTAGACTCCATTTGCTTTTTGCCTAGATTATTATATCATCCTACTGACTATATTTACTTTACCTAGTGTTCACTCCCCCACACATAGAAAGATCTTTGTTCAGCTGCCCTAACCCTTTACTTTACAGAACAATTCCAATTAATTTATTACACCAGTGAAAAACAGTAGCTTTCCATTCTGTTGACTGAAATTCAGATTTTTCTTAAGAATGACATTCACACTTTGATCTTTTCAGTCTTCTCCATATTTTTGTCCAATTTTCCTCCTATATTCATCCACCTTCAGTCCTTCAGTTTCTAGCTCTAGTTTTCCCATTTCTCCTTACTGAACCTAATTTCTGTTCCCTTAGTATATCTATCAGATTTTATTTACAGCTCTCATTTAATACTAATTGCTATTTGCATTATGTTTTAGCTGTGGCATACATATTTTACAGCCTCTATTAAATTTAAGCTCCTTGAAGATTGGGATCTTGATGGTTCACTGTTCTGTCTCTTCACAGCACCTATTTTGCAAGGAGACTGACTCTCCTTTGCTCTTGGGGTTGAGTAAAAGGATATGAAAGAATTTAGAGCTATAGAGTGATGCAATTCACCTCACTTCCTCGTTATCCTTTGACTAACCAATTATATAACTGTCCCTCAGTTCCACTCATTTCCCCCCAAAAACCCAGCATATCAGAAATACTCCTTTTCATTTTCTTATCCTTTCTGTTTATAAAATCTTCAAAATTTAATCTCTTCATAGAAGGTTTTGATAACTGTTTAGATGGTTGGTTTTATCCTGTTCTTTTTTCTTGTAGTCATCTCTTAGTGCTGTATTAGTAACTCACTTATTCTTTAATGAATATTGAGCATGAATAATTGTTCCCATTGATTTAACTACTATATTTTCTGTATCATAAAGTATTGACTTTAAGATGAACCATTAATTTAATAATAACAGAAAGACTTGGAAAACAGTACTTTCAAGGTACAAAGAAAATATTGAATATAGCGTTTCTGTGGTCATGCAGTTTTTATTGCCTAGAGTGTGTCAGATCAACTTGTAGTTGCATCGTGGATCATAGTATAGACTGAAGACATTCAACAAGTAATGATTAGAATTTCAGTTAAAATTCAGTGGAATATTGCGACCAATGCTAGTAAATCATCTGAGTTGACAGTCAGATAAACTCCTTGGTCTTACGTGGTTATCATATTGAGGAGGCAAAGATAATCACAGACAAATTAAACTTACACTTCTCCCTGAAAGTTGGCAATTTTATTTGACATTCATTGTAGGAGATAACTATAACCTGATTAGTAAGCATTATGCGGATCTGTGAGATAGTGTAGCTTAGAATCAGCAAATGTATTATCGATTCTGTTCATCTGTATTGTTTCTTAGTTTTTATTAAATAAATTTTTCTTTATAGTTTTTTTGTCCAGAGACTTGTGAAGTATGTCAAAAACTGTTCAAAAGAAATAGTTTTGGGGTGAAAGAGAAAAAGTCTCTAAAATTGATAGAAGTAGATAATTGAGCTCTGTGCCACAAATAGGAAGTGGGCACTGTGCCAGTGAAGAATAGTCAGTTGATTTAAAGTTGAATTGTTGACTTCAGAATGCACAAAACCTATTCCGGGCCATTCAGTTGGAAGGCACTTGCAAACCCTATGTATGTAACACAATTGTGTTTTCCAGCCACATATATTTTTGAAGATATTTGAAGAAATTGTGCACTTTAGTGAGTATACCGGCATAATCCTAGTTGTTGTAATAGCTTACTCCCAGAATGTGAATTTAACGCAGCGGAAGTTTTTTTCTCACTCAAATAAGAAATGGGTGTTTCTGATTAATAATAGGTGGCTCTCCTATACGTGAAGATTCAGTAACTAGGCTCCTTCTGAACATCACTCTACTTTCTTGGGTTTTTGTGGACACTGAAAAGTGGCATGTGCAAAGAAAAAAATCTAGAGTGTTGCACTTATTTAGCTATGTAGTTTTAAGTGAATATTTACTAACAATGCTTAGAATTTCATTGATAGATGATGTAATTGTTCTTTGTAATGCTGAAAACGTAGAAGCCACCTAAAAAACTTATCAATGTGAAATTACTTAAAAGAAGTGTTGGAGCATGTATCTACTGAAAGAAATTCTGTACAGTCCATAAGAATAATTTATTGAAATTCACTGTTATAGAAAGATACCTATGCTATACTTCATACAAAAAAATTTATAAAACTTGGTATTATGATTGTACATATGGGGTGGGGAGAAAGGAAAGAGGAAAGAGGCATGGAAAAAGTATGGACATGTATCCAAGGTAGTGGAATCCAAGCTATCCTTGGATAGTGGAATTATAGATGAGTTTTACTTTTCCATCTACTTTTCTATATAAGCTTAAAAAAAAAAAGTTCAGTTCTTGTAGTTGTTTTATTTTATAGTTTCTTTTCTGGAAGAATCTCTACTCCACCTCCATTTTTTTTCTCAGAAATCTACCCTTTAAAATTATATAATAAGCAACATTAACAAAATGAGTAGCAAGTAAATCTTTCCTCATTTCTGTGGGTTTTTTTTTTTCTGGATATTGATTACTAGTATACAGAATAGTAAAAGGCAAGTTATTGAAAGGGAGGCTACCATTTTTTAAAAGTGCTTTGTTAAAATGAAAAAAAAAAATCCATTTGACCTTCTAAAAGTACCTGGGCTTCTGATAGATTTGTATTACCTTCAGGAATTCAAAAAGCAACCAAACTAAGAAGAAAGGACCTCGTACTCCTAGCCCACCCCCTCCTATACAGGAAGATATCACTCTGGCTAAAAAATATAAAGAAAAATATAAAGTAAAAGACAGGATAGAAGAGAAACCAAGAGATGGAAAAGACAGAGGGCGAGATTTTGAAAGACAAAGAGAAAAAAGAGAAAAGCCAAGGTAAGTAGGACTACATATTTTTAATAATCTTCCTTCCTTAGAATCTGAAATATTACCAGAAGCTTTTACGCATTAATACAATGGATTCTTTTTTAAGTGTTTATAACTGTGTACATTTAACAACTACCATGTTGAATTATGGTTACTTAGTAAACATGAATATAACAGATCATTATGATTAAAAAAAAATTCCCAATTTTAACCATTTTTAAATGTACAGTTCAGTAGTGTTAAGTATATTCAGTGTAATGAAATAGATCTCCAGAACTTTTTCATCTTTCAAATCTGAAATTCTATACCTCTTAAACAACTCCTTTTCACTCTCCAACTTAGCCCCCAGCTCCCCAACCCCTTAAAACCACCATTCTACTTTCTATTTCTATGAATTTGACTACTTTAGATAGCTCATATAAATGGAATCATTTTGTCTTTTTGTGACTGGCTTATTTCACTTAGCATAAGGTCTTCAAGGTTCATCCATGTTGTAGCATATAACAGGATTGCTTTCCTTTTTAGTGCTGAATGATACTCCATTGTCTATATGCCACAATTTTTACCCATTCATTTGTCAGTAAACATGTGGGTTGCTTCCACTTCTTGGCTATTGTGAATAGTACTGTTAGGAACATGGGTATGCAAATATCTCTTCAAGACCTTTCTTTCAATTCTTTTGGAATTATACTCAGAAGTGGGATTGCTGGCTCACATGGTATTTTAATTTTAATTTTTTGCAAATCTTTCATACTTTTTTCCATACCATCTACTCCATTTTATAGTCCCACTAACAGTGTACAAGAGTTCCGGTTTCTCCGTACCTTCACCAACACTTGTTATTTTCTGTATTTTGATACTGTGTTCTTGATTTGCATTTTGCTGCGAGATGTAACTGTGGTTTTGATTTACGTTTCACTGATTGGTGATCTTGAGCATCTTTTCATATGCAAAAGCAGTGGCCATTTGTGTATCATCTTTGAAGTGATGTCTATTTAAGTCCTTTACACAGTTTATGTTGACTTAATTTGATTTTTGTTGTTGAATTGTAGAAATCCATTGTATATTCTGGATGTTAACCCCTTAACAGATTTGCAAATATTTTCTCCCTTTTTGTAGGTGGCATTGAATTTCACTCTCTTGATGGTGTTTTTTGATGCACAAAAGTTTTTAAAGTATGACATAGTCCCATTTATCAGTTTTGGTTTTGTTGCCTGCACTTTTTGTATTACAACCAAGAAATCATTGCCAACTCTACTGTTATGAAGATTTTCCTCTGTGTTTTCTTATAAGAGTTTTATAGTTTTAGAACTTAAATTTGAGTCTTCAATCACTTTAAAAAAATTTTTTTGCATTTTTTAATTGAGTTATAGTTTACAATGTTATGTCAATTTCTGGTGTACAGCACAATTTTTCAGTCATACATGAATATACATATATTCATTTTCACCATGAGCTGCTACAAGATCTTGAATATATTTCCTTGTGCTATACAGTATAAACTTGTTTACCTATTCTATATATACCTGTCGGTATCTACAAATACCAAACTCCCAGTCTATCCCTTCCCACTCCTCTCAACCCTGGCAACCACAAGTTTGTATTCCATGTCTGTGCATCTTTTTCTGTTTTATATTTAAGTTCATTTAGTTCGTTTGTCTTCTTCTTCTTCTTTTATTTTTTTTAGATTGCACATGTGAGTGATATCATATGGTATTTTTTTTTTTTTCTCTTTCTGGCTTACTTCATTTAGAATGACATTCTCCAGGGACATCCATGTTGCTGCAAATGGCATTATGTTGTCATTTTTTGTCGCTGAATAGTATTTCATTGTATAAATATACCACAACTTCTTTTTCCAGTCATCTGTCGATGGACATTTAGGTTGTTTCCATGTCTTGGCTGTTGTAAATAGTGCTGCTATGAACATTGGGGTGCAGGTGTCTTCTTGAATTAGGATTCCTTCTGGATATATGTCCATGAGTGGGATTGCTGGGTCATATGGTAAGTCTTTTGAGGAATCTCCATACTATTTTCCACAAAGGTTGCACCAAACTGCATTCCTATCAACAGTGTTGGAGGGTTCCCTTTTCTTCACACCCTCTCTAGCATTGCTTATTTGTGGACTTTTGAATGATGGCCATTCTGACTGGTGTGAGGTGATACCTCATTGTAGTTTTGATTTTCATTTCTCTGATAATTAGTGATATTGAGCATTTTTTCATGTGCCTATTGGTCATTAATATGTCTTTATTGGAGAATTTCTTATTGAGGTCTTCTGCCCACTTTTGGATCAGGTTGTTTGTTTTTTTCTTATTAAGTCATATGAGCTATTTATATATTCTGGAGATCAAGTCCTTGTCAGTTTCATCTTTTGCAAGTATTTTCTCCCATTCTGTAGGTTGTCATTTTGTTTTGCTTATGGTTTCCTTTGATATGCAAAAACTTGTAAGTTTAATTAGGTTCTATTTGTTTATTTTTGCTTTTATTTCCATTTCTTGGGTAGACTACCCTAGGAGAACATTGCTGAGATGTATGTGAGATAATGAAGAACTTCACAGACAAGGAAAAACTAAGAATTTTGAACACTAAACCTATGCTAAAAGAAATATTGAAAGGTCTATACTCTAAATAAAAAAGGAGCAGGATGCTACAGAAAGAAGAAAACCATAATTGGAAAGGCGATAACTACCATGAATTACAACAGAATAAACATGAAATTTTAGAAGAGGACATCTAAATCATTAAGGGTGGGGGAGGGGAGCAAGAAAATATGGAGTTTTTTTAATTTTTATTTTTTTTTGTTCTCAGTAGGATGGTTTTGAGCTTATATTTATATCTGTTTAAAACAGTTATAATAATGTGTTAATATATGTACAAAACAGGGTAGCCACAAGCCATAAAATTAAAATAGAGTCACAAAAATTAATCCCTTTTTAGTTAATTTTTTGTATATGTTTTAAGATTCCGGGTCCAAGTTCATTTTTTGCATGTAGAACACTAGTTTTCCCAGCACCATCTTTTGAAGGAACTCTCCCCCTTGAGTGGTCTTTTGGCACCCTTGTTGAAGGTCATTTAACCATATATGCAAGGATTTATTTGGGGGCTCAAACATTTACTCCATTGGTCTATTTGTCTGTCTTTCTGCTGATACCACACTACTTTTGTAATTGTAGCTTTGTAATATGTTTTGAAATCAGGAAGTGTGAGTCTTCTAACTTTGTTATTACTTTCTGAAATTATTTTGGCCATTTGGAATCCCTTGAAATTCCATATAAAGTTTGTTGAGTGTATTATTGTGAAAAAATGTTGAATTTTGTCAAATTTTTTTTGCATCTGTTGAGATAATTATGTGGATCCCCCCCTTCATTCTGTTAATATGGTGTAGTACACTGGTTGATTTTCCAGTGTTTAAACCACCCTTGCATTCGAGGAATAAATTCTGCTTGGTCATGTATATAATCCTTTTAACATATTGAATTTGGTTTGCTTAGTACTTTGTTGAGGATCCTGGAGAATGTTCAGAGTGCACTTGAGAAGAATGTATATTCTTCTATGGTTGGGTGGAGTGTTCTGTACATGTTTGTTAGGTCCATTTACCCTGTAGTGTTGTTCAGTCCTGTATTTCCTTGTTCTTTTATCTGTTAACAAGCATTAGCTTTTTTAGATAAATGGAATTATAAAAAAGATCTGACTGGAGAGAGAGCAGACTCCTTTGAAAATTTATTCACTTTGAAATTTAGTAATTGTTTTAAAATTTAGAATTTAGATCACTCAGTTGACTACTTAGAGTCTCTGTGTTTTAATTTTTTCTCATAAACCAGTTTTTCTGTACTCTAGAGATAGTTTCTTAAAGGTCTCTTTTTGAAACTGATAAATTATGAGCTCTTGATTTTTAAAATGCATTCAATGCCTTTTAAGAACAAACTTTGTAAAAAACATGCAGGTAATATTTCTTCAGTTCACAAGATTTATGAAATGCTTACAGATTTGATAGGGTATTTTTCCCTTGTTCTTTTTTATTAGTTTTTAAAATATATTCTTTCATAAAATTAATGTTTTCTCAAGAAAAAAACTGACTTTTTGGAGGGCTCTCAATCTTTTTTCTTTTTGAGTTATAGTGTAATAGAAAATGCACAAGCCTTGAACTTTCTCAATAGGAACTTGTATTTTGGCTCTGCCAGTTACTTGATGTGAGACCTTGAATAAATTGTTTTTTTTTCTGAGCCTGTATTTCTTCAGCTGTAAAATATACGTGATACTGCCTCATTGGGTTGAGGTGAGGATTAAATGAAATACTGCTTTAAAAAATGAGCAAAGTGCTCAGTAAATACACTGTTTTATCTTCCTATTTTAGTAATAAATTATAGCATAGTGATATTTAAAAATGCCTTTCCATTTGCAGATTTTCACTTGCGCTGCATAGTTGTAGAATGTAGCCGTAAAGATACTTATTTTTTTCTAACTGTTCTTCTCTGATACTTACGTAGCAGTTAGTAGTAAGGACTCAGTTTAGGAGGCTTAAGTACATAAGGCAATAGTGCCCATACTTTTCTGCACGTTGGAATCACCTGAGAGTCTCTAAAAAATATCGATGCCTGATGCTAGTCCCCACATATTCTGATTTAATTAGTATGGGGAGCAATGTTGGTGTCCAGATTTTTAAAAAGCTCACTGGGTGATTCTAGTGTTAGCAGAGTTTGGGAACCATAAATTGAGATTTATTCTTTCATTTAAAGAAACTTAGTGGGAGGCCATCCAAGACTGATAGATACGCTCTTCCACAAAGTCACTGAAGATCCAGCCATTCTCTTTCTTCCTTGTGATTGCTTCCTTTTTCAGGGTTATCTCTGGTTGACTCTGACTGCTGATGCAGTAGCCTTTACATTCATATTCCAGGCAGCAGAAAAAAATGAAGGGAAAGAAGCCTAATCTTCCTGAAAGTCTCAATGCACTATTTTCTGTTACATCTTATTGGCCAGAATTTAGTCACAGGGCTACATTTAGCT